CTGTAATCTTAATCAAAAAAATATATAAAAAATTTCTTTTAATGCACTTCTAATGATCCTAAATGAATATAGTAGTTTTAATATAGAAATTATTTCTACACAAAATAATCATACTCATAGTTTTCATTTTAATGACTATACCATTTAGTCTAAAAATATAATTAAAATAATATTAAAGAATTATCTTTATAAAATATATATATTATTTGAACAGATATTTCATAAATCTTATTTACTGTTAAAAATTGTCCTTTATTTGTTGGAATAAGTAAATGTAAATGCAAATGTTTTTTTATTATATCTTATACTATTTTTCAAAATTCTTTAGAATAAAATTGTGTTATTTGCTAAATACTATCAAAAGAAAATCTTTTTTCAATTTCTGAAAAGAAATTGAAATCTAAAGATTTGGTAGATTTATTACTTGACAACTTTAAAGTAATAGCTTTTTTAACATGCTACTTACATAATTAAATTTTACATTAAAGTTATATAAAATATATAGAATTGATCTGTGTATAATTTTTATTACTTAAGAAAAATTTAGGCTGTAACTCTTTATTTTAAATATAGTAAGAAACTTTTGTATTACTTCTGTTTGTATCTCTTCTTTACATTTGCCATTATTTTTTAATAAATAGATATGATAATGGAAAACCAGTATCATATACTTCTGCATGTAGAATATATAGCTTAAATTCTATATTATTAGAATTATATGTAGCATCTATTCTAAATTCATTAATGATTATTCCAAATTTATTTATTTATTTAAGAATTTCAGTATTAAATACCAATACATAAATAGGTTCCTTATCATCATTTAAGATACTCTCTGATAAGATTGTTAGATAAAACCTAGAGGTTTTGCAAGTTGTCTAAATAGAAAAAGGTAAAATTTAGTAAAATTATATTAAAGTTTTATTAAAAAATCTGCAAAATTCTAAAAAAGGTAAAATTATATCAAAGTTTATAAAAATGTGAAATTATATTAAAACCTTAATAAAAAAATTAGTAAAACTATAGTTTAGATATTTTGCTAAATCTAAAATAAGTTTAAACAAGTAACCTTACTTCCTGATATAAACTTTTATGAACAAAAAAAAAGGAGAAAAATTGGAAAAAATAGCTATGAAAAGTGACAAAAAAAATATTTTAACAAAAATAATACTATTTAAACTAACAAAAACTGTTTTTTAAAATAAGAGAATTTAGGAAGAACAAAAAGAAAAAGTTTGAAAAAAAAGTTTTTGTTTTTTTTTTTGCAGGCTAAATCATGACCGCCCTTAAATATATATACTTTTTATATAAAAATTTTTAGTCAAGTAATTGCTGGAAAGAATTATTGTATTTTTTTTTATTTTCTTATAATTATTAGATAATAAGTTATTTTAAAAACTAAAAAATTGAAAAATTATTATATATTAATAATTAATTTTAAAATTTTAAAAATATTATCATTAAATATTTTAAAATGAAAAATCTAACAAACTTTATTTTATCTTTTTATAATTATTGGATATTAAAATATTATAATTTTTCTATAATATTTTATAATTAATTTATATTTATATTTTAAGGTTTAATTAATTCAAATACAATTTTATAAAAATTCCAATTACTTAATCTAATAAATCAAATAAATTAAGTTATTAAATAAACATAATAAAACATTTTTAATAGAATAAAATTGATAAATTTTTAATAATTAATAATATTTAAATAAAAAAATATTTAATATAAAAATAAATATTATTTTATATTCTTTTTTATTAACTTATATTTTAATAATTAATTGTTTAAAGTATGGTAAAGAATTTTCAATTACATGTGAAATCATGTAATATTTTATGTAAAAATATCTAATTGAATTTTGTGATCAAATATAACAATCAATATTATATAATTAGGTGATAATAATAAAAATTAAATCATTATTACAAAATTAATATATACAAAAATTAGTGTTATATTAAATTATTTTTTGAGTTTTTCCATGATATTAAATAAAGTACTTTTTATAACTATTATATTTTTTTTATCTAATATTTTTATTAATTTATTCTAGTTATTTAATATATTTACAATTTTGTTTTAACAAATTTTTAGTTAATAATAATGTTTATTGATTAAAATTAATTACAAATTCACTAAATTATACCTTGATTTTAAATAAATTAGTTATAGCTTTTTTAATTTGCTTTATAATAATATTTTTATATTAATTTTTATACTATTATTTTAATAACTTTAAATTTCCTTTAAAATATTTACTTTTTCATACTTATAGTAGTGATCATAAGTATCTGATTATCTTTAACTCTAGCTACAAGTAAGTAAATTCAAAATTTTTTATTTAACAAATACATAACCAACTAACTAAAATTAATATATTATATAATTACCATCTGACTTTATAAGTATGGCTGTACGCCTTTTCATATTAGCTATCAATTTGTGATAAGTATAAGTGATAATCAATTTTATTTTTTTGTAAGTTTTCTCATTTATCCTCTAATTGATCAAATTTTTTTTTGTATATTAATTTTTATTAACCTTCAAACATTTTTTATAGTATTTTAGTTTGGAAACATTAATAACTAAAAAAGTATTTTAATGCTATTTTCTTTCTTCTATTTTTTTACGATTTTTGATTAATACTTTGGATCATTATCTTCTTGCAAAATCTAATCTATGTTACCTTTACTAAAAGTTTAAAGATGAAAGCTAGAAGACTCTGCTCATAAATAGTATACATAAATTCAGTATTAAGGTTTCTCTGAAAGCAAAATAACTTATCAAATCCAGAAGCAGAAAAATATTTCAAACATGAACTTTTGGTAAATGCTTAACAGAATAAAACACTTTTTTTTATCAAAAAATTGCTAAACCTTTTTTTTAATATATATAATTAAAATATATTTTTATTTATAAAAATAACTCAATTTCAATCAAAATTCTTATGTTTTTTATTTATTGCAATCTTTTTTTTTAATAGTCTTTTTTAAGCAAAAGTTTAGAAATTTCATTACTAAACTTTTCTTCAGATTTATGAAGATATTGTCTTACTGTTTTTACACTAAGCTCAACACCTCTTTCTTTAATTTTTTCATATATTTGAATGGCTTTTATTATGTTCTTTCTCTACCATCTTTACAATCTTATCATTTTGTTTTGCGATTATTATTCAAGGCTATTTTAGTCTTTTTAAAGTACTTAGTTTCTAATTTTCATAATATCTTTTAATCCAATAAATAGCTGTAGATTTACTATAGCATACTTGTTAATAATAATCTAAAACTAAACTTTAAACTAAATGGGTTACTTACATAAAAAAACAATTTCATATCATTTTTTTAAAGAAAGTTTCATTTTTCAAGCAAAAGTTTGATGATTATCTAAATTTTTTTTTGTATCATTAATACTTATAAATTTACAGGTGATCATATATTATGTTACATTATATTTCTGAAAATTTAAGGGGTAGTTATATAATAATTTTGAATAATCTCAGATGGTCAGATACTTATGACTACTATTATATATTGAAGATTAATAAAGTTTATTAAAGATTTAAGATTAATTTAAAATTATGATAAATAATAATTATTTTAAAATTACAATTTTTTAAATTGTTTAACAAGTAAATTTGTTTGCAAATTTAAAAAAAAAGTATTAATTTTTTTAATAAAATATAAAAGCAATTTCAATTTATATATAAGTATATTCTATATAAATTATATGGTATAACTAACATTAATATTATTTTTGCTAATATTAAGAAATTAAGAAAATTAGCCATATGAAAGATAGGATATGATAAATAATAATTTTTACTGAAAAAATTTTAAGTTTCTAAAATAAATAATAAAAACTAAAGATGAAAGATATAATATTAATAATAAATATATCTTTCACATATTTTAGGTATATATATCTTTATGTAGTGTTGTATTGAGACATATTTCAGGTATGTTTAAGACAATTGAAATATAATATAATACAGTTTAAGATATAGTGTAAGACAGTTTTAAAATACTTAAAACATGAAAAATGAATATTATTGTTCTTATATAAACTTAAAAATTTTCAAATATAGATATTAATTTTGATAATATAATATTTATGTAAAAAATTTATTTTAAAATTTATTTTATAAATTTATTAAAGTTTTAAAATAATTTAATTTTAATTAAGTTTAAAAATTTATATGTTTATAAGCTAATAAAATTTTTTAATAAATTATAAAAATTATAATAATTAAAGTTATTTTTATGATAAATTTTATAATATCATATTATGAATAATATTATTAAAAGTAAATTTTATATAAGATTATCAAAGGTTAATGTTAAAAATTTCTAATATAAATTTTTTAAAAATTACAAATTTTTTTAATTTTTTATAATTTTAGATTGTATTGTATATAATATATATTTATAAAAATTAATTTAAAATTTTAATTTAAGAAAATTTATAATAATCAATTTATCAATCAACCCAAAAGATGTTTATTTATTTGTTAAAATATCAATATTATTTTTTTTTATTATTCTAAATTTCAATATGTCAAATAAAATAGGAAAAACATTTTTTAAAAATAAGCAAACAAATTTGTCTGCAAATTCTTATAATCTAAGAGATAATCAATTGAATTTTAATATGTATTTTATCTTTTAATTATATTATCCTAATTAAGCAATTTTTATTTATCTTAGCAAATATACTTTATCATTTTCTAATTATTCAATATTCTGAATTTTTCATTAAATTTTTTTAATTATCTTTTTTATTTAACAATAATTTATATATATAACTAGATAAATTTGTATAAATTACAGCGATTTTTAAAGCCCATTTTTTTTACATATATATAATAATATTAATATATCTTTTTCATAAATAATATATATATATACCTTTTCTCATGAATCATTAAATAAAAAATATTATTACTCAAAATGTCACTATCCATATCTAGGAAATTGAAGCATTTCTCGTTAACAAACAGGCATTCTTTTGCTTAATACGAAAACCTTATCATCATCTCTTAAATATACATTATACCTAGGGCAGGTATAAACATATTTAGTTGATTTTATATTATCATCGGAAGTTTTCATTTTCCTAGTTCGATACAATCCTAAAGGTATAACCTTTTTTTCTTCCAAAAAATATTTAAATAATGCACCATATTGAAATCCAATATATGCCTGTGGAATAGGGATTTGAAAAAAATGTGAATGAGCAGGCGCGGGACATGTAGCCCCAGAAGGTAAGTGCAATGGAGGTGCGCCAAAAAGTAACTGATGGATTATCGCTACGAGGTGTGGTTGATAAAATGATTGACAAATTATACTATCCAACATAGATAAAGTAAAGCATGTACCAGCCATAAAAGCCGGTGAATGATGTGCTATAACAAAATAGATAAAGATACTTTAAGTAAATTTTCTCAAGATACAAACGTGTAAATTTTCAAATGTATGTATGTACCTTGCATATTCTTATCAATAGCCGATGCGTCCTCAGACATAAATTTCATATTATCCATATGAACAAATTCTACAAACACATCAATGTCTGCATTACACATAGCCTTAATATTCAAATAGACTAACATTGCTGATGCGTCTTCTGTTCTTTCTCCATTCCTATTTTGAAATTAAAAAGAGATCATGAGATTTATTATAAAAATGAATAAAGGGCACGCAAATAAGTAAAATGTATGCCTTAAAATTCGGGTGGAATCTGTTAAAATGACCTATAGGTAATAAAATTTTTATTATCGTTTGTTAAAACATTATAAGTCAAGGAATTCACAATCAAAGGGATACATACAGCTTGTTTAGCGTGTTTCACTCTTCCAAGTTCTAAACCTTCTCTTGTCATTGGATTTCCTTGCACAAAATAAACTTGATCAAATTGACTTAGAATTTTCCATTGACTTTGACTTGGCCTTACCAATGATAAAATGATTATAGGAGTTATTTTCTCTAAGTAAGACTTCCGTAACGGACTAACGAAACAATCAAGGTTACGTGGAAATATGGTTTGTGAATAATCGCACAAAATAATATGACCGGTGATAACATCAATAATAGAGTTTGGATGTTCAACATCGTGTGCTAGAGAGGCACCAGATGAAATAGGATCGATGGTGTGATGATGTGAAGGGTGATGACGAGCTTGATGTTCATCGTTTAAAGCAAGAGGTGTTGACAGTGCACGATGACGACGTGCAACTGAGGAATCAGGTCTATGTGGATACTCATGCTGTCCATCAGGTGTTGTTGCTGGACCTGCTTTTTTCTTTAGATCAAAATATCCTCCGCCCGAATTGTTTTTCAATCCATCAGCAGATAATAATGGTTGTCTTTCTGGTGGGACTTGCCCATGTCTTTCAGGTGATATAACAGTACTCCTTGGATTTCCATTATGACCCTTATAAGACGAAACACCATCTGCTATAGAACCATCTAATGCAATGACGAATCCAATCTCATCACCTTTCACAACATAATCCCCAGGATTTATTAAGACCATGTAATTTTTAGAATCCTCCCCCCCTAATTCCTCATGTTGACCATAAATCCAATTGTTTGTATATCTGCTAATTGAACGTTGTTTTGGAATCCCAATAGCAAACAAAACTACACCTAAACTATCATAAAGCCGCTCTATAATTAATAAGATATATATGAGTAAAGTTTCCATTTGCCTTGTAGTAATAATTTAATTATATCTCACCGGCAACAGCAAGGAACGTTTTTCCTGAGAAAAATTCGGATAAAGTGGTCGTATATATCGATTGCGAAAGCCCAGTAATATAATCTTCAATAGTGTCAGTGTCAATACAATCCGAACCTTTCATTTTCTTTGATCTAGCTCTTAACTCGTGGGCAGTTTCAAATGTAAATGAAGTAGTTAATCCATACAAAAGAGTCGAAAAACCAGGAGTAAGACATGAATGTGCAAGAATAGCAAGTTTTAACTCGTCAGTGCATATTATTTGTTCGGGATCTTTAAAGAGATAAAGAAATCGTTTCAACAAAAATTCACGTTTAAACAATTACAACGAATTTTAACCTACTTAAACTCTCAAAATGAACTTTATTCTCTGGCAAAATGCATTGAATATAAAGTTTTGGTCCCTGATCGAATTTTCTCAATGCCTATCACATGAATAAAAATTTAAATTTAAAAAAAAAATTTGCAAACAAAACAAATTGAATTTTGATATTTTGTACGTACGATCGCTTTCAATACATTCTCCGCATCTATAATTTCACTTTGTTGAGTATATTTTTTGGCTAAAATAAAATAGGCAGACGCGTGTTTTGCATTAGCCTTTTCAAGACTACGCGCCTCAAGTGAACTCCCACGAATGTATTGTACACGATGTGCGAAGACGGGATCAGAAAGGAATGTCCTCACGCGATCTGTAGGATCCATAGGATTTAATATCACCACCTTTTATTTTAATGAAAATCAAAGGTATATCAATGCGCATTCCTTTAAACATGAACCTTACAATGAACCACATGAAAAAAAATTTTTTTTCGCACACCTTAGTGTTAACCGTAGCAGGGCCATGCGCCAACGAATAAAACTCTTTTAAAAAGTGCCTTAAAGAAGGTAATTCTAAAGTTGGTGCAATAATAATAACATGTGGTTGCTGTGAAATCTTTTTAAATGGCCTATCATAAACTGATTTGGAACGTATCAATGCGATCAATTCCGATATCGAATACTAAATAGAAAATCATTAGAATTAAATTATTTTGACTAAAAAAAAAAAATACCAATTAAAATTTAAACTTACCGGAATAAATATTAAGCCAGTCGTAAAAATGGCTAATAAAAGAATTCTGGGAAATGCATTATCAGGTACTATATCGCTAAGGTATCCGACGGTGCCCAACATAATAGTCGTGAAAAACACAGCTATTCATGACCAATAATTAATATATATCGGTCTAAGTAGAAATAATGACGGAGAATAATGTTTTAATAATGAAATGTACCATCTAAGAAAGTAAGTTTCTCGCCCTAATCAAAATAAAAGAGTTTGATTTAATTTTTTTTTTTAAAAAAAAAAAAGATTTCAAATTAATTATACCATATAAACATATTCCACGCCGTGTAATAAAGAAGACCCAGTTAATACAAGAAATATGATAGTCTGCAAAAAAATCAAAAATTTACTAGTAACTTGGCCTAATTTTAAAACAGATTTTTCACTTCTAACTAAACATTCGTACACAGAAAAATAGCAACGAATGAATCTAAAAGGATAAAAAAAAACTATATAACGGGTTTCTTGAAAAAAAGGATCGATTGCAGTTGTTACCACAGGGTATACAGTTAAAAGTGTAAGAATCGGTGTAGGACTGGTAAACAAGGAACGCCAAGAATTTAATTCATAGATATAAAACTTTGGAATATATTCCATTAATAAGATAATCGACACTAAGACTTCTAACCACACGTTAAACCATGGCAAGGTTCCCTTCATATCGTTCGTGTTTGCAATGTAAATACCACATAATAATATATTGAGGAAAGCGTCAACCAATTTCCATATACTACCAATGGCAGAGTTGTCAAGTTCAACGGCCAACTGTTCACGCCATGAAGGTTGGTATAGAGTATGATAACGTGGCTGTTTCAAAGTAAAATTAATAGAGGCAACAGAAATTACTGAAGGAGTCCTACTTGAAGATGAAGAAGGTGGATTTTTCGTAGGAAGAAGGAAAGTAACGTGTGGAGGATCCTCAGAAAATTGTTCAGGGTTTGGCGCTATTCTTGACATGATAAGACTATCGGAAAAAAAAACCAGAATTCTTTGAATAAAACGCCGAAATCAAGAAAAAAAATTTGTAACTAGCTGACAGAAGTTTATTTATTACATCTATCGATATCATTTTTTTTTTTTTTTGTTGTTTCTTTTTTTGGATTAATTTGTTTGTTTGATGCATATTGACGCATAGAAAACGGGAAAACGGGAAATTACGAATTGTTTCTTAAAACAACGTGGATTACTGCGCCACAAATCATATGACCATTTGTAAAAAATTTTGAAACAAGTGATTTTCAAGGCTTCTTTTTTCTCAACATGTTTATTTATTATTTTCATAGATGGTATAATTTATACAAATTATACTTATTTATATCACGTGAATTTGTCTATCTAACCATAACTTTAAAATAATTCTAATAAGATTTCACAAAAAACTGTCTCTTGAAGAAGGGGGAGTGATACTAGCCCTATTCAATTCTAATCTATTGTGATCTGATCTAATTTTTTGAAATTATTTTAACCAATTAAAAAATGGTAAGAATTGAGCAGATAAATTCCAAATTGATTTGTTTCATTTTAAAATTTTAACTAATCATATCAATTAAACAAGATGTAGACAATGCTTATTAATAGAGAAGATAAATAATTCTTTTAATAATGAATTAAATGAACTAGAAGATGATATTTTGAATTAATAAAAGTAATTCTTTTTGCTTTGTCTTCTTGTTATCTTATTTTTCGAACATATAATATTATTAAATCCAAACATTAGTGATATGAAATATTATTTTTATATGATAATATTTATTTTAAAAAAACTTTACAAATGAAAAAGCAGCAGTTTAATAGACTAATACAAATTTTACAGTATAATATAATATTTTAAAGTCAAAGAAAAAAGTTATAAGTGTTAGTTGATTTTTAATTAGCAATATTTCTTTAACATATTAGTTTTAAAGATAATATTATAGATATTTATTCTAGATTTGAAGTATCAAAAAGTACTGTAATTCTTTATATAGATTATGTAATGAGAATTATAAGAAATAAAAAATCAGAATTTGTTCAATAACTTAAAAATAATATTAGAACAGTTGTTCATATAGAATTTTAAAATATTAGTGAATTTTAAAATATTATTGGAACAATAGATAGAATTCATTTTATTTTAAATAAAACACTTACATAAAATCTAATAGTATTTTTTATAAAAAAAAAAAAGATATACAATTAAATATCAAGAAATTGTTGATTTCACAAAATTTTTATTCATTATATAATAAAATGACTTAAATTGATACATGATGCATAAGTTTTACTAATTCAGATTTTTATCTCAATATATTCAAGGTAAAGATTATGTGTTAGGTCAATATTAGATTTTAAACATATTTTTTAATTTAAATATTTTGAATAAGATTTTGGACATAGAAAAATATGTCTATAACCTGTCCAAAATTATCTAAAATTGTCCAATTTTCTATTATTGTATTAGATGATTTAGCATATCTAATTTCTTTTTTTTTGATATCTCCTTTTAAAAATTCTTTTAATTATAAACAATGTCAGTTAATTTTATTTATTCAAAATATAAGGTTATTATAGAATATGCATTTGATAGATTAAAAGCTAGATTTAAAACTTTAAAAAAAATATCTGTAAAAGATATAAAAACAGCTATTAATTTAGCTGATTATGCTATATTACTACATAATTTTCTTAAAATTTGTAGTATTAATATACAATTCTATTAAATTGTAACTATTAAATAGGGTATTCAAGTAGTGATTCTTTTAAAGTTTATATAATAATTTAATAGTTAATTCAGTAAGTTAATAGTTTTTTTATATACTATAAAGTATATTCAACTTCAGTTGATTAGGTTTTTTTATATATTAAAAATATATTCACACCTTAATTGATTAGGTTATTTTATATATTAAAAAATATATTCATATCTCAATTGATTAGATTCTTTTATATATTGAAAAATATATTCACATCTTAGTTGATTAAGTTCTGTTATATATTGAAAATTATATTCAAACTTTAATGAATGTATGATTTATCTATTATATATGATGCAAACGGTCTAAAGCCACCACTTTTAATCATATGACTTCAAAATAATAGAAATAATCAGCCAATTAACTATTTTAAATAAACTCTCTATTAAATGATAGATTGTATCATTATCTTTCACATAATAGAGTCGTTTTCTTATTAAATAGTTGTTAACATTGAATATATAAAATTAAAAATTGGAGTATTTATTAAATATGATAAAAATTTAGCCATCATAAACTGACCGGAATCACAGAAATTACCTAATTAAGATCGAAAAATCTAAATTTAAAAATCTGTAAACCACCCCTAATTTTAATTTTTAAATAAAACATTGTTGTAAAATAGATGTGGTAGTACCTAAATACCCTTTTCCATTTTTCTTATTTTTTTAATTCTTAGAATCAGTTATATTAAGGATAGGAAGATATATATATGTATTGATTTGAAAAATTCACATCTTTAAAAAAATGAAGACTTGAACTTTTTTTTTTCAGTGAAAGAAGAATTTTTATAGTAAAAGAAAAATCCCTTTTTTAAAAATTAAAAATCTGAATCTCTTAAAAAATGAATCTGAATTTTTTTTTAAAAAATGAAAACTTGAATTTTCTTTTAAAAATGAAAACATGAGTCAAATTTTTTTTTTTAATTTAAAATCTTTTTTTTTTTAAAAAAAAAAAACCCTTCAAATCTTCCTTTTTTTAAAAAAAAAATTCTGAATCTTTCCTTTTTCAAAAAAAATCCTAAATCTTTCTTTTTTTTCAAAATAAAATCCTTTTTAAATCTTTTTTTTTTTCAAAAAAAACATAAATGTTTTTTATTTTAAAAAAAAAGTCTGAATTTATTTCTTTTAAAAAAAAATCCAAATTTCTTTTTTTTTATTTTCTAACTTTAAGCAAATAGGTTTAGTGAAATTTTTGTGATTTATAGTAGGAGTTTGTTCAGTTAGAAATAAAAAAGACGGAGAGTAAACAGCTAATTGTTTTTTGATAAAGTTGGTGTAAAATTTTTTTTTGTTAAAAAATTTTTTCAAAGTATTAATTAAAAAGGCTATATACGAAATGTCTCCAAAGTCTCGTAATGTTCAACTTGCAGCTACACGAGAAAGTAAACGATTAAAAAAATTATAGGTTGCTTTATCAAGTATAATTAGGGAAGATGATGAACTATCAAGTGATGAATTATCTGATAATTTTGAAGAAGATGGTATTTGGAATAATGATAGTTTAGAAGAAACTGTGGATAAAATTTCACTATCTGTATTTGATATTATGTGTCAAAATGCAAAAAATCTTATTATTTTTAATAGTACACGTCCATTAACTTATCATAGAAATTCTGATAGAACTCAAAGACAGAAAAAAATAGCTGCAAAAATAGCAAGTGAGGGATTTACCAATATTACCAAATATTTCATTAATGATTTAACTTCCATTTCATTATTAAATAATCAGATTAACACTATAGCTGATGATTTAATAAATCTTGATGAAATTATAGAAAAAGAAGGGTTTAATTTAGCATTAGAGAAATTAAATACATTAATTAAAGACAAATCATTACTTTCTCAAGTTAAAAACCAGTTGCAACTTATTCTTTAATATATTAACTTAAGATTAGCTGGATATAAATGTATGGAAGCAAGTTAAACAATTGTAATTAGTATTAGAAAAGGCAAATATCAAGTGCGTTTAATTAGAACATGGATACAAAATTTTGTGATATATTGTTCAATTCTAACATCAATGCGTGGTAAATATCAAAAAATTAAAAGTTTATTAGACAATGAAGATATTTATCAAATGATTACTGAATACCTTTAGAGTATTGGATGTAATATAACTGTAAATAAATTTAAGGAATATATTGAACAGGAAATTTTTCTAAGTATTGGAATTGAAAATAAAAAATCAATTTCAAATACTACTGTTCATACATAGCTAAAACATTTTGGTTGGACATTTTGCACAGAAGTAAAAGATATTTATTATAATAGGCATGAACGACCTGATGTACTTAAATATCAATAAGAGTTTTTAGCAGAAATGGTACAATTGGAGCAATGGATGCCAAAACCTTCTGATGATGATATTATGATACTGAGAGAGCCTAATTTGAATGAAGGTGATAAGAGACATATTCTGGTAACTTATAATAAATCAGTATTTTATGCTAATGATAATAAAAAAACCTTTTGGTGACCTATGAAACATCAGCCTCTTTGTAAAAAAGGGATAGATTTAAGTTTATATGTCAGTGATTTTTTAACAGAAGTTGATGTTTGATTAAAGTTTGAACAAAATGAAGCATTTGTTACAATAAAATCAAATATTAATCGTGATGATTAATGGAAAACTGAAGATTTAGTTATATAGGTAATATTTCATTTTTATTATTTTAATTGATTTATTTTAAAATTATTAATCAAATTATTTTATTAGATTACTAAAAAAGCAATTCTAATCTTTGAAAGGTTACATTCTGATGAAGTTGATGTATTTGCATTTGATAATGTAATATCTCATACTGCATATTCAGAAGATGCTTTAATTGCATCAAAAATGAATCTTAAACCAGGTGGCAAGGGTAAATTTAAAGATAGATTAATACCTGATGGTTTAATACAGTCAATATATCTTTCAAATAGACAGTCAAAAGAAATTCATTTAATTTTAGAAGAATGTGAATTGTGACTAGAAGGTGGTTTAAATTGTATCTGCTCTGAATGCAAAAAATATTCTTCAACTACAGATAATTGTTGTGCAGTTCGGTTACTCTCACTTCAACCTGATTTTTTAGCACAAAGGTCATTAATTAGAGAGGTTATTGAAGATAGAGGGCATAAGGTCATTTTTTATTTGAAATTTCACTGTAAACTTAATTTAATCAAAATGTTTTGGGATGCTGCTAAATGTTATATCCATAATAACTGTAATTATTCTTTCAAA